GATATCTGTCCGTCTGATCCACGCTTCCATGTCTCTGGATCTATTCTGTTCATCAGTTTATTAAGTTCTTTAGGTTCCACATATGAGATCATGTGATGTTTGTCTTTCTCTGCCTGGCTTACTTCACTTAGCATCATATTCTCCAGGGCCATCCATGCTGTCCCAAAGGGTACAGGTCCTTCTTCATAGCTGCGTAGTATTCCATGGTGTGAATGTGACACAGCTTCTTATCCACTCATCTACTGATGGACACTTGGGCTGTTTCCAGATCTTAACTACTGTAAACTGTGCTGCTATGAACATCGGGGTACATATATCCCTGTCTCTTATACACATCTAGATGTGTATAAGAGACAGCCTGTAAACTGTGCTGCTATGAACATCGGGGTACATATATCCTTTCTGATGAATGTTTCAGGATTCTTAGGATACATTCCTAGGAGTGGGATCACTGGTTTGAAAGGCAGCTCCCTTTTTGAGCAACCTCCATACTGTTTTCCACAGTGGCTGCCCCAGTCTGCATTCCCCCCAGCAGTGTACTAGGGCTCCCCTTTCTCCACACCCTCGCCAGCACATGTCGTTTGTTGATTTGTTGATGGAGCCATTCTGACAGGTGTGAGGTGACACCTCATTGTGGTTTTCATTTGCATCTCTGATGATTAGTGACGTTGAGCATTTTTTCACCTGTCTCCTGGCCATCTGTTGTGTCCTCCTTGGAGAACTGTCCATTCAGGGCCTTTGCCCATTTCTCAATGGGGTTGTCTTCCTGGTGTTGAGATGTCTGAGTTCTTTGCATATGTTAGAGATCAACCCTTAGCAGAGGGACATTTAATAACACCGCGACTCCTTCTGTGATCTCACAAAGTTCCGTTCAGGAGCCTATTCGTACATTCCTTTCTCGCCATAATGCAGTTTCTTAGCTTTGTTCTGTGACCGGATCGTCTGCAGAGTGAGCGAGCCAAGGGGAGCAGCAGAGCTCCTCAGGGTCCCATCGAACTGTCCCGCTCGGTATCATTTCCGGCACCTCAGTCCCCCTCTGAATGCCAGCCTCCTCCCCCGAGCTCTCGCCTGGGCCCAGAGCAAGCTCTGTCCGCGCGCCAGACAATGTGGCCGGGGGCAGCCTGCATCCACCGCGGAGCTCCCATGCGGAGGCGGGCGCACACCCCCCGGGGTAACGGGCACGAGGACACGTCCTCATGTTCTGCCACCTCTTCCTGTCCTGCGCCCCTTGTCACCCCTCATTTCCTGGGCCACCCCCCAGAGAAACCACGACCCCTCAAAGCCGGACCTGCATGGGCTTTGGGATGAGTGCCATCAGTCACCGGTCACCTCCGTGTGCCAACGTCCTTGAGACAATGACAATTCGAATCCCCATGTCCCATTTATTAGAGAGAGGAAGGGAGAGGGAGGGGGAGAGTCACTGACCGGCCGCCTCCCGCACGCCCCCCCGCTGGGGATCGAGCCGCAACCCGGGCTGTGCCCTGACCGGGAATCGAGCCGCAACCTCCTGGATCCCAGGGCGACGCTCAACCCCTGAGCAACGCCGGCCCGGCTGCAATTTCAACTTTTTAATGTCGAAGCCAATTTTCCTTCTCAGGTACCGGGGTCAAAGACAATAGAGAGGATTTAAACAAGCAGATGTAGAAATTATCTCAGCCTCTGGTCTTTCCACTGCCGGCAAAGATTACAGGTTTTACCCAACCCATAAACGTGCGTTTTTTTTTTTTCCCCTGGGGAGAGGTAGGGCTAACAATAAAAATATCCACAAATGGTATTCATAGGGGAGAAAAAAGCATGAACCTGAGTTACCCATCTACCGACAGCGTAGAAGTTTCTATAAAAATAAGTATTCGAAGTTTTGGGAAAATCAGTCCATTAAAAGGAAACGACTATACTCGGTAGCCAATCCATTCTGGTGAACCACAGACTAATTTTGTGTTTAAATACAACCATAAAGAAGAGAATTACAAGAATTTTGGTTTTTCTGTGAAAATCAGGGCTACAGCCCATGAGTACCAGGCAGCGAGCCTAAACTCAGCGAAACCTTTTTACCCGGTGCCTTTCCTTTCTCTACCGAATTTTCCATTTATTTTCAGAGGTGTTTGTGGTGGGTGGAAAAAATCCCTTCCCCTCTCCTGACCTGGTCTTGATCAGGGCTGGCCCTGCACCCAGCTCAGACGCACCAGGTCATCGCCCCCGTTTGGGCAGAGAATTATTTTGGGCGCAGTCATTCTTTCTTACAGCAACATTTCCAATCTTATGACCGGTGTAGTTTCGCTTCTGGAGGCAGCCGGAATATATGGGCTTTTATTAAATAAAAACGCACCGTCTTTGGAAACATTGTCACATGAAAAGGTTAGGAAGCGGTTAGTCTGCTTCTGCTTTTACAAATGCAGCCAGAGCCTATCCGTGGCGATGGAGGAGCAGGCCCGGCTCCCGTCCCTGCCGTTCCCACAGCGAAACGTGGGCACAGAATTCACAGGAGACGCTACTCCGCGTTCAGTGAAGATGCGTCTCGGGAAACGGGGATGTGACGGAGCCGGTGGCCGCCGGAAGGACCCTCTTGGAGGGGGGCACCATCCTAAAGCCGGGTGCTGGCGACGGTTGCAGGACTCGGAAATGCTAAAAACCACCGACTGCAGCCTCAACGTGAGTGGATTTCATGGGGTGTAAATGATATTTCAACACGGCTGTTCGTTTTTGCCCCCAGTAAGGCTTTTTTCTACATTTGATGAGACTTGAGTACACTTAGGAAAGATGTGCTAAATGAGAGAGAGAGAAACACTGATTTGCTGCTCCACCTGCTTACGCATCATTGGCTGATTTTAGTATGTGCCCCGGCCAGGGATCAAACCCGCACCCTGGGTGCATGGGGGTGATGCCCTAAGCAACTGGGCCACCCGGCCAGGGCTGTGCAGGCATTTCTGGTTGGCAAGACTTGCAAGAATGAAAGTCTGGAGCTCAGTGTTGGACGGATTTGTAAAGGCAGGAAACAGAACACTTTGACAGTGACCGAGATGTTCCAGAAAACGGCACCGTTATTCAACAAAAGCCCGTTTGAATTTGCGGCTGCAGCTCTCGTTCTGGACTGTGGAGGTGGTCAGATGTAACGGGGGAGTGAACCACCAGGGCAGTGCCTCTCCCCAGAACGATGCCTGTGGGCAGTTAGCAGCCATGTGATGAGCCCTGGGCACCGTCCAAAGACCTCTGCCCAGGCCCTGCCTGAATTCCCGTCTTTCTGCAGAGGCTGGGAACCACTTTCCTCTGAGGTGTGAGTTTGCAGCCCTGAGCTGCAAGCACGGTCGGGTCAGAGCCTACAGGCTCCAGGCCACCGGACAGATGGTAACGCGCTTGACCACAGTGCGCCGGGGTTGCATGTGAACCGTGAGGCTCGAGGGGGAGCCTTTTACTGATCCTCGCCTCCGAGCCCACTGTGAATTATTTCTTTCATGTGCCTCTCCAAGTCCTCAGACCGGCTGGAGACATCATTTTAAGACAAGGTTTGATGTCTTTGTAATTTCACTTTAAAGCTTGCTCAGTGAATTGGCCTCAGTGGGAGGAAATAGTTGGCACATGCAGGAGGGAGCCAATCAATGTTTTTCCCTCTCTCTCTCTCTCCCTTCCTCTCTCTCTGAAATCAATAAAAACATATCCTTGGGTGAGGATTTTTTATAAAAACCACACAATACAACATACCCTGTAACAGACCCAAATATTAAATTACTTTCATTGCAGGTTTCCCCCTTGAGACCTATGACTGTGCAGAGCAAGGGGTGGTGATATTACATAGTGAGAAAGGGACAGACTGGCGGAAACGTGTATTTTCGCAGTCACGGTATAAAAACGGGAACTTACAGCAGCCAGTTCACACCTCCCCATAATGAGAGACATGTGACTGATGTTATGTCCTACACTGTTCATGAAGATCACAATGCATTTTGTTTAAAATAAACCTAAATTAGCGTCCACGTAAGAGGCTGGCTCCCAATTAGCAAGTGAGCTACAGGGTTAATCTGCGTCTCTGAAACCCGGTCCCAACAGTCAGCGGAGCCGATGTGTGACCGTTCAGAAGGCACGCGGCCGTCTCACGGTGGGGAAAGGAACCTGGAGGTGCCGCTCAGATCTACCGAAATCACATTCAACTATCACAGACCAAACGCACTAGAAACGGAAAGCAGTTAGAATTCCCCGGAGTCCACGGAGGTTCTAAAATAGCAATAAAATTTGCCCCGGCCGGTGTGGCTCAGTGGGTTGAGCGCCATCCTGTGCACCGAAAGGTTTCAGGTTCGACTCCCGGTCAGGGCACACACTCAGGTCGTGGGTTCCAGTTCCAGTGCATGTGGGAGGCAACCGACCGATGTTTCTCTCTCTGTCCCTCTCCCTAAAATCAGTAAAAACATTAAAAAATAGCGATGGAACTGGAACTGAACCCAGCGATAGCAGTGACGAACTGACTCNATATTGATGTTTCTCTCTCTGTCCCTCTCCCTAAAATCAGTAAAAACATTAAAAAATAGCGATGGAACTGGAACTGAACCCAGCGATAGCAGTGACGAACTGACTCCAGGGGGTTTCCGTCCTGGGTGCCAGGAAACGAGAGATTCACGCATACCCAATGGAACCATCGTTTTGAGAAAAGCTGCAGAGTCTAACGTGCCCCAACTAAACCTCTGTCTCCCCAAATTAACCGGACGGCGCTGGGTCAGACAACCTACGGCAGACTCAGCAAAGCTGATCATGGAAACCGCCACGTGAAAGCGAGAAAACCCCATTCTGTTCTCTTCTGCAACGTCTCGAAGGCATGACCCAGAGATGTCCTTGATATAAACTCACATGTACCGTCAGACACATCCGGCCCCACCCCTGGGAACAGCAAGGCACCTGTCGCCCAACCACCCATGTGGCTGTGGCGTCGGGTGAATCTGGGTTCCAGATGCGAGTGCCCGGGAGGAAGGGGAAGGTGAGGCTGAGGCTGACACTGACCCCGGAGGAGCGGATGTGCCTGCTGGGAGCCGGGTCTCCCGGGTCCCCCAGGAGGAAGGCGGGGGTGCGGGTGGGGAGCGGACTCACCTCTAGAGGAGCAGAAGTGCTTGCTGGGGGCCGTGAAGCCCCGGGTCCCGTGCACGTTGACGGCCGCCACTCGGAACTGGTACCACCTGCTGGGCCGGATGTCAGTCAGCTGCGCCCGCTCATCCGTGGTCTGAGGGGATGTCACAGAGCACAGACAGCCCTTTTACTCCGACACATCCACGGGGGCCGCCTGGGACACACACTGACTCATGGGCCAGGGCAGCGCAGCTGTGAGGGGAGCTGTCAGGGATCAAAGGGCTCCCAGGGAGAGTTTCAATCGCCTAATTCTCTGCACAGACATCTCACCCCCCAGGGGCTGAGGATCTCTGCGAGTCAGGCCTTTTCACAAATGCCTGGGCTGTGTTTAAATCTGGGGACTAAATGCAGCATTTGAGGGATTAAACCAATAAATTATTCATACGCGCGAATACATATATGTGAGCTAATCATTCCATTATACGCAAGAAAACGGGTCATCTTCCGATCACAGGAGAAGGTGCCCCTAAATTCTGCGCCTATATAATCTTGGAGGGAGGCACGAGAGGGCTCACACTTGAATGACGCCAACACTTCCTGGTGCATCGCCACCGGAGCCTTTTTGGTTTTGTTTTTTTAATTTGAGTAAATCACGTAAGAAAGGCAAGGACCTGTTGGGTTCCTGAGGGGTGAGGTGTGTTCATATATCTTTGTCCAATAAAAAGCCAAAGTCAAAAAAAGAGACACTGGGGACTGTCCGCGGGGTTTGTTCTATCTGCCGCCACCACCCCAACGTATCGAGTGACTTGGACAGTCTTCCCACGTCCCTCCTCCCGCAATCTAAGGGGAGCCCTGCCTGCCTTCAGCCGGACTCCCCAGGAGGTGGGAGAGCGTTTGCCTTGAGCTCAGGAACAAACGCCCGTCCATGCCTCGTGCCGGCTCAACATGCGGCTCGGGGCTGAAGACGGGGCGGTGAATTGAACCAAACCCCGCCGCCGTTTATGATAACCTATTGAAAAGGGCTCTTGCATTCACTCTGGTATCTAAACGAAGCTAAACATCTCCACGATCGAAGAAAGAATATGAACCATTAGTGGTCGCTTTCTGCCTCATCTGGGAAAATTTAAGATAACGCTTTGTCTGACTACATCATTTAGAGTTTTAGTCTTGAATTTAAAGTCAGGCCCTGGCTGGTGTTGCTCAGAGGTTAGAGAGTCAGCCCAAGAACCGAAGGGTCATGGGTTCGATTCCCGGTCACAGCACATGCCCAGGTTGCGGGCTCCATCCCCAGTCGGAGGCGCGCAGGACACAGCTGACCCATGACTCTCATCATTGATGTTTTTCTCCTCTCTCTCCCTTCCTCTAAAATAAAATATATATTTTTTTAAAAAGAAAGAATGAAGTTCAGGAAGGACTTCGTGGGGCTGTTTTTGCTCCGTGTCTGTCATGTGGCTGAACTCAGGTGTTGATGGGGATGAGAGTCATTTGAAAACTCGGCTGGATTTGTGTCCACGGTGGGGAGCACACATTTTAAATCAAAAAGAATTTTAGGCTAAATTCTGAACACCTCTATGTTTTATTAAAGCAAATTTTCCCCCCAAAATAGGTAGAGAATAGAATTATTGGATTTTTTTAACCAGGGTTTTTTCACCCCTAATTTAAGATATTTCTTTTACATCAAACGTCTCATTTATTTGGGGGTCTTTAAATTATTTTAGTGTTTACCCTTTTGGGGGGATACTACTCTTGACAAAACACCCAAGTTCCTCTCCCAAATACCTAAACACTGAAATTTATTTTATATTTACCAAAAAACAATACTGGGCATGTTACTGGAGGAAAATGGTGTGAGGATTCTCCCGGTGGAGGTGCATGCGGGCAAACTGTGTTGCTGAAATGCAAAAAGCAGTTTTCTATGGAGAATTTATTCTCTCTCTGTGTCGCTGTCTTGCAGCTGGCAGTCCACTTAGCAGCTCTTAAAAAGAAAGAAAATATTGGCTTCTCTGCCGCACAGGACGGAGGGGAAGGGGCTGTGCGGAGATAAACGCGGGCGAGCTGCCCGCCAGCTGGCGTGTCCGTTTGTCGGGGACCAAGACGGAGGAGAGAGCGCCTGGCAGGGGTTTACGTGCCCTTGGCTGCTTCCCGCCAGGCCGTCTGCGATAGGGATCTCCCGGGGCCGCCACGGCCCTGCGAGGAACAAAGGCTGGGATTTATTAACAGTCCTAGCTGGGCTGCGTTTCCCTCACTCTCGGGGCTGTAAGCTTAGCTCAGGAAATGTAGTTCTTGGAGGAAACAAATATGAACACGCGGATTAGAAAGTTATCTCCCTTCCCCATGGATCTGCAGCAACATGAGCCCCCAAAGAGGCCGGTTTCCGGATGGGCTGGCGACCCTGTGCCGCACACACGCTAGATATGCCCACGCGGAGGTCATTCCGGGCGCTGGGACCGAAGCAGAGCTGGGGAGCCGGCGCCTGCGGGCCCTGCTGCCTGGAGGAAGAGCGGCGCCCAGCACTCACCTGCGCCACCGTCTGCCAGGGTGTGGCGTGGTCCTCGCTGGGGTGGATGCCGTAATTCCACCGTCTCTGCACCACGTACAGCACCGGCTCGATGGAGATGTTGAACTTGGACGACCACTTGACCTCCAGCTGCCCGGACTGCAGCTCGGTAAATCGTAGCTCCTTCCTGGGCTTCAGGGGCACGCCTGCAACGGGACCAGGTCAATCAACAGCCGCCCGGGGGCGCTCAGACTGGGGCAAAAGCAGAGGAAGAACAACTGCCGACAAAGCTCATCTGATGACAAGGGGACGCTCCCCCCGTTCCCACGGAGGGTTCGCATCTGAAATCTCAGGCTGAGGTCAGACCATCACGTTTCAAGGAGTCTCAGCCCGTTCTTTCAGCTTTCTCATTTTCTTAAGAGGGTCTAAATTCATCCCCGACTCTGAACACGTCCCCCCCCCCCAATTATCTGAAGAGCAATTTTTAAAAATATGTTATTGATTTTTAGAGAGAGAGGGAGAGGGAGAGGGAGAGGGAGAGAGAGAAACGTGGCTGAGAGCCATGCATCGGCTGCCTCCTGCACGCCCCCTACTGGGGATCGAGCCCACATGTGCCCTGACCTGGAGGCGAACCGGCGACCTCTTGGTTCAAGGTTCAGTTTTTTTCTGTGCTTTCTTCATGCTACCAGGTGGCATCATGTGAGGTGAACATGGAATTCACACGAGGCAACAGCCTAAACAGTTTCCAGTCACTTTCCCCACTAGGCAGGCCCCGTGTTCATGGACTGCTCTGAGGTCACTGTAACATGGTCCCCAGTCTGCTCTCGTTAGTATCGCAGGAGTTTTCCTTTTACGGAAACATGATAAAGCTCAGTGCTCTCATTGGGCACATCTTACAGGAACGAGTTCCAAACTGAGTCTTGTGGGCTCCCCCAGTGACGTCTGGGGCTCTCTCCCGGCCACTTAGGCTTAAAATGGGAAAGCGATGAGTTTATCATGTTTGCACGTGGCACGGGGAGTGTGTTGCTCCAAACGCGCCTCACAGGTGTCTCCCGGTGACGTAGTGAATCATTCTGATTTATTTTTCCTCCCAGGGTGCACTGCCTGGTGAGTAAAAGATTTCAGAATCACTGTTCAAGACAGGAGCCTCTGTGGAAAGGAAATACACTACGCAAAAGCAACTGGACGAGGTGGAGCCTGAGGCATCGCGATGGTCAGCGCCGTCAGAGCCAAGAACACAGCTGCCGTGCGAGTCATTTTCTGTTGAGAATGAGCACTGACAACTCATCTGAAACAGTCAGCTCAGAACGCGCTATCTCTTAAGTTGAAACAGAGAAAATGGGAAAACTGTGCAAATACACCCTGGAGGTAAGATCTAATGCATGGTCGTGATGTGGCTGAATTTCAACCCGTTTTCCTTTTTTATGTGAAGTCGACCAAAGTCTTGCTTAAGGAAACTCTAAAGTCATGAGACATTTCATGGCATGCTTAAAACTGCTCAAAAGGTCACTATTTTGTTTTTAAATGCTTTTAATGATTTCAGGGATAGGAAGGGAGAGGGAGAGAGAGAGAGAGAGAGAAACATCCATGATGAGAGTCATGGATCAGCTGCCTCCTGCACGCCCCCTGCTGGAGATCAAGCCCGAAACCCGGGCATGTGCCCAGACGGGGAATTGAACCAGTGACCTCCTGGTTCATGGGTCAACCCTCAACCACTGAGCCATGAGGGCCGGGCAGGTCGCTGATTTTTAGAAGCGATTTCTAGGGATCACATTGGCTGCACCCTAGCGTGGTCCGTTTTCAGGTGTGGGTGAGTGATACCTACCTAGTGCCCTCAGTTTACCATAATCCTGTGTCACCTGATCCCTGCTGTGGCTACAGTGTGAGCGTCAGGAACTGAGTCTGAGGAAGACTGAGTTGCCTGGAGCTATGAGCTGATGTCAGGTTTCTCTCTGAGTCTCTGCTTCTTTCCACATCTGGAATCAGGAAAAGCCACTTGGAATGGGAGGGGGCAAAGGTGCTCCGCCCAGGACCTTCTTGGTTGCACACACTAACTTAGTCACGGAGAGGCCAGGACCCCGCCTCACTGGGGGCTACTGTTTCCATCACACACTGCCGAACGTAGCAAAGAGAAAATGGCTACATGTATACACACATATATATATTTGCTACATTTATATTCAAAATAACAATGTTATCCTCGTGCTCACTGTGCAAAAGTCACCGTCAGGTCAACACACCCTGTTTACTCTCTTAGTAGCTAGCTCTCCATCAGTTGCCTCTCTGCAAAAATCCAAGTCACAGCCACTCTGCTGTCAGCACCTCCAAAAACACCCATTGCACTGAGTGAAGCACGGTTAAATCTCAGTATTTTCTCGAATGAGTCGTTTGCGCTGCCCTTCGTAGCTGAGGTCCCTCACGCTCAAGGACGCTGGCATCTCTGAAATTCATACCGACTCTTTGACGCTTTTATATAAAAAGCATATTTTAATTTATGTTCCCTCTTCAGAATGCCCCACGTTTAAAACACTACAGGTTTCACAAGTGCAGTTTCCACAATCATCGTAAAAGTGTCGCATTTTTATGGGAAATGCTGATGCTTAAATAACAAATTATCTATCATAGCGGAGGAGCTTCCACAGTAATAGACTTCATCAAATGCTGTTACGTTTTGCAAAAGTGATTTTAGGTCGTTTGTAACAAGAGGCAGGAAAACAATAAAACTGAATCCACTGGAGGAATGTCTGGGTAAGAAGGGGAAAGCAGCAATTATTCTGAATTTGATATATAATATTCAGGCCGGGTTTCCAAGAATCCTAGGGAGGGGAGGGAAACTGGGTGGATCGCATAGATTGCAGGTGAGCGTGAGTCCAAGTGAGAAAGAGAGGAAAATGGGGAAGATCCGTGCTTCTGAGGCCGTAACTTATTATGAGGGTGGGAACAGACTCCTGAAAATCATTCATCAGCATGGAATTCAAAACGGGCATTGCTGGGCAGTACTGTTCTATACATAGTTGTTTCTTAAGCTTACCTACATTTAGAAATAATATACAAGGTGTCCCCAAAAATGTATATGCACTTTTTTTTTTGATAGCTCAATGGATGTTTCTTTCTTTTCATATTTAAGCCATTGGAATTGATAATCATTGAAAGCATGTATAGACTTTTTTGGGACACCCTATATATTGGTGTGTGTGAATGAAAGTGAGAGAGAGAGGGGAGCAGAGATAGAGACACAGAGAGAGATTACTTTCTATTTATGATGAATAAATAAATGGCTGGTGATTGAATCCCTCTATTTCGCCCTGCAAATTAGCCTCCAAAAGTACCAAGACTGTGCATCTCCTGGTAGACTTTGACAGCAATCAGACTGTACACAATACAACAACAGTACTTTGGCATAAAGTAATGGAGCCGTGTTACAGAAAGAAGCCAGTAACACTGAGTCGAGAGGAGTGGAGGGCTCTGGAAACTGCCTGTGAGTGTAACTGCTCCATCTGCTCAACTGTTGGACAAACTGGACCCCGTCTCCGGGAAGAGGGCGATTCCTGCGTCCAGCATCTCAGGATTCTAATCAAAACATTTAGAGTCCACACAAGGACACCTGTGTCCTTGGGTTGTGCCAAAAAGAAAACGGCCACACTGTGCATTTATCGCGCCTTAGTCAAGGGTGCCCCACCCCCAGCCTATTTTTCCAGGATTTAAATCTATTTATTACAATGTACCAGTAAAACTTAATGGATTCATTTTTACTGGAGAAAAACACTTAAAATACTCCTGATTTAATGCTGTCCTTTCTCCACATTAAATCTAGAAAACATTATATGAAGATTTTTCTCTACTCCGATATGAGTTAGTTGTGCCTGATTTCTATGGTCTGGTAATATTTTAAGATGTTTGTATGCGGCATCAAACTTTTTTTTTTAAAGATTTTTAATTGATTTTTAGAGAAAGAGGAAGGGAGAGGAAGAGAGAGAAACACTGATGTGAGAGCAAGACATCGATCAGCTACCTCCTGCACGCACCCCCTACTGGGGACCGAGCCGGCAACCCCAGCATACGCCCTGACCCGGAACTGAACCGGCGACCTCTAGGTGCATTGAGGGTGCCCAATGGCCGAGCCACACCGGCCAGGGCCTGAGTAAACTTTCTAATGTTTTATCTTTTTCTGCAATAGCGCCTCTCTGGTTGATGCCCTCCCCCAGCACGGATGAACCCTGGGAGCGTGAAGGGGCCTTCACATGCTTGCCAGGCTCTTACCTTTGTACAACGTCTTGGGCACCTGGCAGGTGTGCCCACACCCGTTTGAACAGCATTTCTTCACGCCAGAACACTCGCTGTCCACCTCGCAGCTCTCCACGCAGGCGGCCGCGAAGCCGCTGGCCCTCTCGGGCGCGGGGCAGTCGCCCTGCTTGACAGCCAGCACATACTTGAGGAACTCGCAGCTCGTCAGGCACTCGTAGTTCTTCTTGGGGAACAGAGGCTGTGGGAGACCAGAACAGTTCTGTTCAAGACAACAGGTGAGGTCCAGTTCCCAGGATGTCGCAAAGGAAGGTCAAAGTCCTTATTCCGCCCAAACGTCCCTCGAATGGTTTACAAAATAAATGTATTTGCAAAACACACACACCCTGGCTGGTGCAGCTCAGTGGGTTAGAACATCGGCCTGCACACTGCAGGGTGGCAGGTTTGATTGCTGGTCAAGGGCACGTACCTGGGTTGCAGGTTCAATCCCCAGCCCCAGTCGAGGTGCATGCAGGAGGGAACAAATGCATGTGCCTCCCTCTCTCTTTCTCGCTCTCTCTCCCCCTTCTCCCCTCCCTTCCACTCAATCTGAAAATGGATGGAAAAAATATCCTTGGGTGAAGATTTAAAAAAATTAATATATCCTAGTATCCCCTAGATAACTGCAACACCAGCACAAATGGTTCTCTCGGGCCTCTGCTGGTTCCCTTCTCCAAACAATGCTGAATTAAAATCTGCACATGAGTGAAGATGGTAATGTTATGTTGTATGGATTTGAGCACAAATTTTAAAAACCTATGCTAGAGTGAGAAGTTTCTATATCCCATGAGGATGTGTTCAGCAACAAACAGTGCTCTCTTATAGACAAAATAGTCCTTCTGATATCGTAAATTCAATACTTAATGACATTTCAACACAAGAGAAAGACTTTACACTCTGGCATTAATTAACACAAGGGGCAACACTAGAACAGCTACTTAGAAACACTATGGCCCTGAGGTCTGACTTAGAATTGTGGATGTCACGTAAAATGGATTGTTAAGAATCATATATAAAATTCAAAAATAAAATGAACTGACTGGATTAAAATAGTGTCTCAATTCAAGAACTTTCCAGGTAAAACATAGAAAGGCCATGGTTTCGGTATTGAATCACCACCAATTTGCAGCTAGTTAACTGAAAGAAAAAACCTTTATAAACACTGAAGCATCATCGAGTCTCAAGGCATTCCTCTCTTGCTCAGTTTCATAGTTCATTTTTCTGCTGGCTGTAGAAGTTCTGAATCCAGGTTGAAACCTAAGTTAGTAATCAGACAGGTATGCGGAGGAGTCTGTAACAGTTACCAAGTGTTTGCCAGCTTTCAATAAGATGTATACATTACAAGCACTGAGAGAAAATACTCAGTTACCAAAATCATTGGCCCTGAAGCCCGGCTGAGATTTCCAAGTAAATTATGTTATTAAATGTGGCAGGTGTTTACTTCTTGCTCACTTGGACACTGCAGTAAGTTAGTGTGCACCACGGTATAATCACAATGCAGTTCAAAACGTCTTCACTGACCACAGGATGACTCAAGAATCAGATAACAGTATGAGTTCTCGGTTCACGTTATTCTAATTACACATCTATGTGCCAATCTCCACACCCTTGAACTGACAGACAGGAAACTACAGAAGGTATCTCGTCATCTTAATAACTTACTTACCGAGCTAATGGGGCTGAATTAAAAACAAACAAACAGAAACTGGCTCAGACCTGCAACACTTGTTCCCAAAAAGTGCACAAGAATGGTCATAATTAGCACAATAACTTACATCTTCCAGCTGACCTGAGAGTTGCTCTGTGTGTTTACTCAACAGTTTTCTTTTTGGTATGGATTCAAAAATGTGATTTTTTTTTTTTTTTTGGTCATTATTTTGAGGACCATGGAAACAAAGAAATGTTTATCGTTGCACTAGAGCTTTCTAGATTGGCACATGAGCTTGAAATAATACCAAAAAAACACATTATGAATATTACGTAATGAGATCAAGCATACAAAGAACTACACCCTGTTGTGTAGAGGTGGCCCACAATAGGTTCTCAATAAGAGTGGTGTATATTTTCCCCACTGCTACAAGTTTATTGTTTAACATTTCTGAATTCTTCTGTCATTCTGAGAAAACCTTATAGGACCCAAAGACAGAAAGCTGGCTCTGCTTCATCCACACCGTGCCCTAGAACTCAGCGCTGAAGCCACGGCTGTGCTCAAGGCTGTGCTTTCCCACAGCAAAAGGGTGCAAAGGAGAACCAGAATGGAACAGGTGGATGGGGAGACGCCCGGGGAAACCAGGTGCGGCTTCCAAGAGTCCTCTCCTAGTGGAGGCGCACAGATGCGCTAATTCCTGAAGCCATGACTTGTGATGACACTGGAGGAATGCTGAGAGCCAGGGGGTCCATTAGAGATGCAATAGTTAGAGTTTTATGGGGATCTGCTCACATAAGCACCTTCTGCCTCCCAGGTCCCAAAACACCAGACTCCCAGGAGAAAAACAGGTGTTGGTGGGAAAACACATTGTAGGAACCATGAGTCATTCAATCAGTTAGGGAATGGGGGGACCCTCCCAAAATCTAAGTCTCCAGATGCCAGCCCAGGACCAGCCTCTGAAGTAGGATTTTGAAGGAGAGCAGTCAGGTTTGCAATGGTAGCTCTCACACACAGATAACTATGGCTATTCTGGATCCATAATTTGAGGTAATAGTTTGCTTTTACTCTCCTGTTTAGTTTGTTACACTAATTTTTTTTTACTGTGCATGTATAATCTCTATTTAAAAAAATTATACTGTTTTTAAAAATAACAATAGTGTCAGTTTTATCTTTCAAAGAAGGCATCTAAATCCCAAGTGTGCATGAAATAGGACGAAGCATTCTCAATTCAAATGTTTCCAACTTGTGCTTGGAAATGCAATTATATAATTTGCTCGGAAACTCAATTACACATGCTAATTTACTAGACATGATTACAGTTAGTTTGGTTCCCAGGAAATTGTAGACACTGGCCATGAAGAATATAAAAAGCACAAGAAAATCAGAAACAGGAGTAATAGGGAAGTCACTTTCCCATGAGAACATGTCCCTTTTGTTAAATTACTCTTCTTTACTTACAGTGATCTGAGCTCACCATTCCTTGCCTTTCTATTTATTTAGAAGGTAAATGAGTCACCTTGTGGGGGGGGCAACAATGCTCAGATTCTCCATGGGGACCAACACTCATTTAAAAAAAAAAATTTTACAGAGAGAAAGGGAGAGGGAGAGAGAGAGAAACACTGATGTGAGAGCACAACATGGATCGGCTGCCTCCTGCACGCCCCCTACTGGGGATGGAGCCCACAGTCTGGGCATGAGCGCTGACCGGAAATTGAACCAGCAACCTTTTGGTGCCGGGGATATCGCTCAACCGAGCCACGCCAGCCAGGGTACCAACACTCACTTTTAAGATCCATTTTTGTCTCTTTATTTTCAATCATTATCAGCAACTGCATATTTTCTCCGTATAGAGCCTCATAAGAGAAATCAGAAAGACTTCATAGAGTTACTAACCAACTCAAAGTGGGTGCTTATGGGGAACCCCAATATCCAAGAGGGACACCCACATACTGCTGTCTGAAGGGTGGTCATTGGTCCAGGAGGATCAGCATGTCCCTGTTGGAAATACAGACTCGCGCCTGCACCTACAGAGTCACAGTCTGAATTTTAGCAACGTTCTCAGCTGATCTGCACACAACGAGCTTGACTAGGGCACTCGGGATCATCCCAAAAGCTGGTGCTGGCCTCTGCAGAAGCCCGAGTCTCTCACCTCTGCACTGAAATAGACCCATCCTAGAACTGTGGGCGTTTCACCCAGTGTACCTCCACCTCCACGCCCCTGACAAGATTTGCTGCGCCCTTTGTGTACAATGTGTTCCGGTCTTCCCAAAAATCACTCCCTCACAGTGAAGGCCTCTGTCTCCTCTCCCACACAGTCACTGAGAGAGGGAGTTCAACTTGTAGAAAGAGTTATGTGCAATTGCTTTGCAAGCCCTCCTGCACTTTATGTGTAGACTCTGGTCCACGGAAACCCTCCGACACAGGTCTCTGGTCACCTCCTAACCACAAAATTCAGTCCGAGTCTCACTGACCTATCACAGAACCCCACTGTGGGGACCTTGTCCCCACCTGCACAATAAAGCAGCTAATATGTACCAAATGTGTGTCAGGTTCAGACACTGATCAAGTTTACAGTCACCTTTATTTTTACTCCAATTTCATGATTCTGGAAATTCCAGGATATTCCCCAAACTCCTTCCAGACAAGACAGGTGTTTAATCATTCCATGTCAGCCTCTTAAAAATTTTGAAAACTAATCCATTGTCTTCCCATTGAGTCTCATATAAGTCTATACCCCCCAGCATCCTATAAAAATTCAATGAAAATTGAGCCTCACTATTAAAGAAAAGGCCTATGTCCATAGAAAATGTTTCACCTGGTCCATAAATTACTAAACCTTAAAAAGTCACGTGATAGTCTTGATCTACTTAGGAACTATATTCTCTAAAACTTTAAAATTTGATATAATGATATAAATTTTGATATAGTGATAATTTTCTCCAGAAGATGACTGGTAAAAGAAATCTCATAACAATTATAAAAATTCATAAGCATTCCTTGAAACATCTCAATTCCGTTTCTCCAATATGCCCTGAGCTGAAAAGGAAAGTTGGACAAAGCCTGCACTGCGCGTGGTTGTCCAGGAATCGCGTTACCAAGGGAAAGCTCAGGTTCGTGACCCCATGGACTCGGGGTGCGTTCTTAATAAACAGTGTAATAACCAATCGTCTTAGCTCTGCCTCCGTGAATGACTAGCCCTGAAAATGCTCAAGCGGGGATCCCATTTGGCAGGATTCACCTTATTCCAGCATACTAGTGAGGCCTCGGGGACTCAGTCTGTGCCCTGCGCCCGTCCACGATTGCTGGGAAAGACGAATGATATCGAGACTGGGGATGTATCGGGCAACGTGAGGTTGCACAGTCCCTTGCTCAGAAGGGAATCTGGGTGGCTCACGGTGAAACGCAGGCCACACGAGCTCAGGAGCTCCTCCTTCAGAAAGACCACCGGACCACTGGGTCCGTCTGCGGGCGCTTGGGACAGCTCCTTCTCACCTGGGTCCACTCAAGAAGCTGTAACATCACTTCACTCTGAGGCCACAGGGCATGTCTTTGGCGTCACCCTCCACGACCCTTCGGGCAGCGCCCGTGATTGGCATGGTGGACTCCTCCCAGGAGCCCTCGTGGGCTTTCTGATTCTATGTCTTAGAGAGGCCAGTGTGCAGCCAGCTGGGTCCAGTTGTCTCAGCTGTCTCAGCATTTGCCAGGCTGGGTGACCCTGGGCCCCGGTTTGCCCCAGGTGGACAGTGCAGCAGGCAGCTCAGCTCATATTTGGCAGGATGGATGCTGTTACACAGGGGGTGTGCAGGACGAAACACCCTTAGTCACCTAACTGAGCACACAGGGGAGTTACACGCCCCCTCCCCCCACGAGTTCAGTGGTGAGCCTTCTGCCCGGGACGGGGGGGAGCTTGATGAGACGCAAATGTTTGAGAAATCCTGCTACAAATAAAGGGGGTGACTTCTCCCAAACACATGAAAATGTCACGAACCTACAGAGAATTACCCACAGATCAGCCGTAATGTAAGTCTGCGATTGTAGGAAGCTTCTAACTTCCAAGCAGAGGTAATACATTTCTCTTTCTTTCTTTTAAATACATTTTTCTTGATTTTAGAGAGGAAGGAAGAGGGAGAGGGAGAAACATCAATGAGAGAGAAACAATGATTGGCTGCCCCCTGCACGCCCCTGACTGGGGCTCAAGCCCACAACCCAGGCATGTGCCCTGACCAGGAATCGAACTGTGACGTCCTGGTCTGTGGGCCCACGCTCAACCACTGAGCCACAGCAGCCAGGCACAGTTCCCTTTTTCTGTTTGTTGAAACACTCATGGAAGCAGGTATAGCTAGGTTTTAAGGAGGTTCAATGGTATTTTTCTTTTTAATCTGCATTCACACACGCACGCACACGCACAGGCTACACTGACTCTCAGGATGCAGAGGAAAGGGGACCACACTGCGTCCTGGCCCAGCCTCGGCCGGGCCACAGGTACCTGGGCGCCGGCCTGCTTACCTCGCAGAAGCTCTGGCAGCGCTCCTTCCGCAGGTCCCAGGATTCCTTGCAGGGCTCCAGGCACTGGGGGATGAGCAGTAAGAGGTCAACAAGGTGGGTAAGAAACAGCCAAGGAGAAAAAATCCCCCCGTGCCCCTCGCTTCTCCAGCCTGCTTCTCCCGGGGAGGGGGCGGAGGCCCAGTGTAACTGTGCGGGATGCGATTCCGCGCAGCAGCCTCAGGGCGGGAAAGGCACAAATGCCCATTTCCACACCACTGGAAAGTCGCACGGTGTGGAGGGGACGTGTGGGGCAAGGGTCGCAGTCGCTCTCAGGCACAGCCGTCTGGATAAGAAACAGTTTTTGTTCAATAACAAATACTTTTTAAACGTTGTCGTTACAGACGGATTTGTTTCTGATACACTGTAATACTAACTTGCTCCTCTGCTGGCCGCACAGAGCTATTTTTTGTATTTTGTCCTGTAAGAGATGGAATGAAGTTGCATTGTGTAAATATGTGTGTGTGTCCCAAAAAACATATACACACTGTAACAGCTGATAGCTCAGTTTTGAAAATGAAAGTGTATTTTAATAAACACCGCCTTTATATTAAAAGTGTGTGTAGATATTTTTTAGGATACTATATACACACACACACATTGTCAACTTCTGTCTTTAGCTNTTTATAATTATTAAAAGTGTGTGTAGATATTTTTTAGGATACTATATACACACACACACATTGTCAACTTCTGTCTTTAGCTCAGTGAATCCAACAGTATTAACGCTCATCCAGTTTAATTATTCTATTAAATATACTGAATAAACCTGACATGAGTTTCAGAATAAAGTTTTAATATATACATATATATATGCATTACCTTATGCATTTTAATAAATCAGAGATAGCAGCTAAGATCCATCGTTCAATAGCAGTTATAATAAATAATATTGTTGAATAAATAAATATAGGTGCATGTACAATATATAGTTTAATCCTATATGTTGTACTCTGTATAATGTTATATACATAGAAGTAAATATAGTTGAAATTAAAATGTTACATTCATATGATTGGGGATTTGATCCTCAAAATTATATCATAATGCAAGTTTTAGTTGGTAAAAATTAATCAGCATGTACAGTTAAATGTCAGTCATCTAAATACTGGCACAGCCCTGGCACCCATAAGCTCATGATTATCTAATCTATACACTTTTTATTTCACTATGGATAAATTTTTCAGTGAGGACCAAATACTCAGTTAAATTTCTGACACATGTAATGTAGAATTCAGGATATAATACTAATGTTAGTTTTTCAGTCGACTTTCTAATAACCTCCCTGTTTTAAAATAAAAATGTAGTTTAATGATAAACTGGAAAATCTATGGCAAAACTTAATTTTCAAATGTCCATTGCCCTTTTTTTTTCAATTAAAAAATATATATGACACAAACCACTGCATGAGTGTCAGCTGTGCATCCATTATAGCAGCGCTGCTCCAAGGGTGGCCAAAGGCCAGTACTCTGAGCGCGACCCTGAGTTTCTGAGAAACGCCAGTGCCTGGCCGTCCCAGACGTACAGACAATCTCTAGGGTCGAGGCCCGGAAGCCCCTTAACCAACTCCCCTGGAGTTCTGGTGATTACTACACCTTAAAAAGAACGGCCTTAGGGTGGGAAGCACCTTACAGTACGTGTGTATGGAACCATCCAGCTGCGCACCTTGAACTTATACAGTGTTACACGTCAGTTACGTCCCAATAAAGTG